ACTGAAATACGACCAAATAACAGACCAGCCCAATTGTCTTCATGATGTTTTAAAGCACATGTAATTATTCATTTTCCCAAAAGAACATATGATTAAATGTAACCTTTTTAACATTATTGTTTGTGTTTAAAAGAACATATAAAGATCATTTTCCGGTTCATATTAGTGTTTTACTACTGTGACGTGTTTACATTGTTCAAAAAGCTCTTTATTTGTCTCATACTGCCTGAGCTGCAGCACCTCTTTTCACCCTCTGTCTGAAACCAGAGCCCAGTCTGCTCTGATTGGTTAGCTGGCCGGCTCTGTTGTGATTGGTCAACCGCTTAGAGATGTCCCGCCCCTTAGCCTATCACGTACAATCTGTTGGAGTGCTAGCCAATAGAAGCGCGAGTGTTACGTAGTGATTTAACTAAGGGATTTTCTATTAGATTTCGGTAAACTGCAAAACAGAACCAATAATAATAATAATAATAATAAGAAAGCTAATTACATATAGTCTCATTCAGCCGCTTGTTAGCAACCACTGTTTTTTGTAAACTTTGTTTATTGGGTTTTGTCAACAGCATACAGTTATTCTATCAGAGCATGTATCAAAAGTACGTAAACAAATCTTCACTTTATAGAAAAATAGGTAGAGTAACGACGTAAATACTGCTTAACACCAAGGCCAACACAATCCCACACAGACAGAAGACAAACAGATATACAAAAACAGACAAACAAAAAATAAACAAATAGAAAACCAGTCAGCTAAAACAAAAATGTCAATAATAAACGTCAGTACGGCAGCACCTCCTCCCGCGACAACCCACCCAGTGTTGGGACCCCTCCAAAATGCAAAAGTTTAGTCAGGAATGATTGGGAACTTTATCCTTTTAACACATTTGAAAAAAGGGCCAGCAACCACTGTTTTTATGACATTTGTCAATTATGCGATTGTGTACCATTTTATTTTACGTTGTAGAAAAAAACCATTTCAGTCTCTTAAGCTCTTGCTTACCACAAACCTTTTTCAGGCTTCTTTCTGAAAACCCATTCAAGGGAACCGGAAGTGCTTTAATGTTAACTCCTTTCTAGTTTGTAGGACTTATTCCTGCAACAAAACAACATCAAACAAGCAAGACACAACATGCTCATATATACGCGTTGAAGAGAGCCATGGTAAATGTTTTTGCCAGCATAGAGTCTTATCTTATCAGCCCTCTGGCTCTTTCTTTATAATGAATCCACAAGCATGATGACAGTGATATTTATCTTCTTATAACGCAAAACAAGAAAGCAAATCCTCAATATACTGCTTCGCTTGTTCTTCGCATCACTTTCAAAAACGTTGACATTCAACATATCTGTGGTTTACAGAAACGTTAAATGCCATCATGTCTTCATGGCATCTGGCTGATCTGATTCGGATGTGGTTTGAGAAACATTGTATACAGATATTGGTCAGATGTAAATGCGTCAACCACATACATCGCGTCTCAGCTCCTCCCAGGTACACCACATCCTCCTGTTGTGTTGTCATTCTCGGTTTTTCCTCCACTCTTATTAGCTGCAGAACATGTGAAATATAGTAAGTGCTAACAGTGGAGGATATACTGCATTGTAGGTGAAAACTGACTGATCTTGCATTTGGAGTCCAAACATCTGAATAATCTAACACGTGTTTAGGAATGACTTGCACTGCTGACTATCCCATTTCTTATAGACATGTGTCGATCAATAAATGTAACATCTTATATTAAACCAAGCTTTATGTCTGATACATATCATGGTCGGCAAACGGCAGATCTTCTAGAGAGTTTTACAGCGGTTGGTGAGGTGAGGAAAAAGCGCAGAAACTCTGCCAACCTTAAAACCACAAACTTGGCCCAGTCTTCCAAAACTGCTTCGAGAGACAAGTCTCTAATTTGCAATATGATAAATGCTGCTAACATTAATAAAAAATAACAAAAACTATAGTAGTATAATTATAGATACCACCCAAAGTTGCTTTACTGCATCTTTCCTATAACAAAGGGTAAGATCTAATCTGTGATGTAAAACAAAATGGTGACGGATGAAAAGGGGCACTGAACTTTTCTGTAGTTTCTACACCCACGCTTGTGATTTACTGTCATGTCAGAAGTCCAGGCAGCGGCGTTGTAACTAGATCTTAAAAAAATGTCTTGATAGTTTCCTTTGTGAAAACAGATGACGTTTAATGAAATCAAATGACTCTTCAATGACTTTATCATCTCTGCTGCTCCTCCACTGGTGACTCATGTTAATTTAGAGTAACAAAGGTCAGACTGTGATGATCATATAAAAGTACACTGTGATATGTCAGTGTTTTTCCAGATGTTTTGTTTTGTCCAGATGTGGAGATGTGTTCATTTATTTTTCTTCTTAAAAATGAGGTGGATTTTAACTAAACCTGAAACCCATGATAACACAATAAGAGTTTACAGCTGCACTCTCTTGGTTGCATTCGGTCACACATTTAAGCATGCTAATGTGAAGAAAAAGGACTTTAAACAAATTACAGCTGAGTCAGGTGAAAAGGCCATTAGTTCTGCTGGTATTTGGACATAACCTACATGTTGAACGCACACAAAGGATGACTTGATGATGGCCCTAAATAAAAATTGAAGTGATCACCAAAGTCTTCACAATTTGTCCTAAGGGGATCAAGAATTCCTCAACCAAATTTCAGGGCAATCTATCCAACAGTTAGGTCCTTTCAATTACAATCTCAAATATCCATCTACTACATCCTATTGGAGGAAAAGTCAGTGAGGACCATCAATGAATAGAAATACATCCTTATTGTTAATATTGACATGTTTTACTCTGGACTTACTATAGTTCAGTAAAAAAATAGACTTGCCAAAAATGTGAATCAGACTGAATCTTCAAAGGGTAAACTAGTCTTCCACTCATCTGTTTCCTCCTCTGGTGTTAGGCTCAATGTGTTTTATCTCGCTTTCAATAATGAAATTCACTTATTGGGAAAATCTGCTGCTGGAGTCTGGCTGGAGCTTCCTGTTGCAGAGGTAGAGAGCAGGATGGAAATATAAAATACCCAATTCAGTCAAAAGCGTGCCAAGTGTTTTCAGAATGGTGCCAAAAAGAAGTGAAAAGACAGTTAAAGCTTACAAGTTGAAGGAACTATTAGAGTCATAAACCAAAATTAATGATGTCCTCAGGGTTATCTCAGGTTTGGCCAAACATTTGACAGTTGAAAAATGCAGTGGATGTGCATTACTCGGTGACCCTCAATGACCCTCTTAAAAAAGTACATCACACCTGGAGACGGTGGCAGAACAGAGAGTTGTGGCAGGATGTAGAGAACTATACTTACCTGCTTCCTGTGGATGTACACATAGTGGGTGTGGGTGTGTGTGTGTGGGTGTGTGTGACATGAAGAACTCCCTGAACAGGACTTTTTTCATCCATTAATAACAGACACAGTTGGGAAAGTTTAACTCACAAGAGCTTCAGCCAAATTCACTTTACATTTCATGTTACGTTACGTTTACCAAAACAATTTATATCCATTATCTTAAAATCTCTTTTCTTTTATATTCTATCTCAAAATGAGTCAATCAAAAAAACAATGTTACCTGCTACTCCAGCTGTGTCAGCTAAGCAGGCCAACACAGTTATAAATGAAACGTTTTCAGTCAAGTCATGGAGCTAGCATTAGCTTAATTAGCCACCTAGCTACAGCTGATGACATCACAGCAGTGGTCATTTCAGCTACTTTCAGGCGAGAAACAAGACGCTGTTTTGGTCTGAAATCAAAGGCCTATTGGTTTGACCATATCACTGTTATATGTGGAGTGTGGGAATGGAAACATTGACAGTTTTAGCACATTAACAAAGAGGCTAGCGAATAATCCATCAAACGTTATCGTATTCAAAGAATATTATATCATTCTGTTGTCATATATCCACTACTTAACTTTTCATCTTTTTTATTCTGTTCAGAAATCAGAAACAGGTTTATTTCCAGGTAGAATTACACTTACGAGGAATTTGACTTGGTGTAGTGGTGCATGAAAACAAGAATTAAAAACACAGGTAGAGAACTAGAAAAATATAAGAAATAATTTAAAATATAGTAAAATAAAAATTGCAATGGAATAGAAGGAATACAATATGGAATAAAAATCAGCATTAATACAAATTATTGTTGTACATTGTGTTTGTTGTGCACTGCTTGGTGCTACCTTACTCTATAATGTATTCATACTGTTGTGGCTTCCTTCCTTGTCTTCCTATCAAGCCCCTAGACGCCTTAAACAGACCGTTTTAACTCGTTTTCTTTCCTTTTAAATTACTCACAGTTTGAAGAGTTGCTTGGCCTCCGATGGTTTGGATCAGTGGTGTCAAACTCAAATACACAGTGGGCCGAAATTAAAACATCGGTACTAGTCGAGGGCCGGACTGGTTCAATGTTTACTGCAAAACTTATTGAAATGAACTTATTGCACATATTAAACCTGGAACTAACAAAGCTTAAATTATTGCCTATAAAAACAACATTAAACATTAAATAATCAGTTGCATTCATTTCTTATGGCTCTATCTGCAGCTTTTCCTCAGTCATTTCTTATGATCAAATTTTCCCACAGGCCAACAACAGCTTCAAAAAAACTATTTCCCTCAAAGACAAAAACAAACATGCCCTGTTGTCTCAAGAGGAAACATCCATGTAAACTCAGTGTGCTACTCTGTGATGCTAGTTCAAGCCAGATACTTGGCATCTCATCTTGGGTGCAAGTTCATCAATGTTTGGGGTCAGGCTCTGAGCTGAGGAAACCCTCAGGATGGAGTGAAGGTGTGCGTGCAATATACCGGCGGGCCAGATCGAACAGTAATTAGAAATTATCCTGCGGGCCGAAATTAAATCCACCAAGGACCTGATTTGGCCTTTCTTATAAATCAGAATACTGGCTCTAACACATACCATATTTTCATTAACAGTGCAACATCTCTTCTTCTCCTCTCTGTTGCAGCGTGAGGCAGAAAGACTCAGACGACGGGTAGTGATCCATCCCAACCTGCTGCCTCACATCCAACAGGAGCATGCCGCGCTGCTCTGCATGGGCCTCCTCTTCCTCCTGATTGGACGGATCATTTACCTTCAAGGAAGTGCCAACAGCTAGGACTACTCTCAGGATTAACCCCTTGGAAAATCAGCAGATGTAGCATTTTGCTTTATGATGTTTCCGTGTTGGATCCTGTTTGTCTTTGGAGACCTGATTCCTACCCTCTTCCCTCCGATTTTACAGAGGAAGAAGGAAACTTTTGACTGTCGTTATTTAAAAGGAGACGATTGGTTAGTACCTTTAATGAACTCTAATAAGCCCGGACTTTCGTTTTTTGTCGAGTGTTTGCGATGCCACCAAAGAGCCACGATGTTTTCACTCCTTTCCAGCGCAGATGTCGTCATGTCGTGTCATCATATGCCTCTCTGCGAGATTACGCCTGTGGAAATTCAAATGTGCCTTTTTAAAGTTTCCTGTTTACTCTTTTAAGTTTTTTTTTTTAATGGACAGAGATTATGAATTCCTCAAGTGATCAACTCTGCAGAAGTTTTTTAAGTTTGTAGGTCCAATCTGCAGACTTTTCCCAATCATTCCCCCTGGTTTCAGTCCGGGAAAAATGGTCTTGCACTCCTGTCCCGTCAGGAACCAACATGCAACATACCGACAACCTCTGTGCAAACCAATTGGGCCAAAATGATTGTTTTTATACAAACGACCGTGTCATTTTTACGTTTTTTGTTACCTTGAATTACATGTCTGCTTATGTCATATTTCAGCCACAGAAATTAATAGTGTCCTGATAATTTGAGTACTGAATGATGAAGGTGTTGACAATTGTTGCGATCTCATGACATGTGTTTTAAACCCCATTCGGACAGGGCTGAGGTTAGCTGGGTAATACAGCATTCTTGATTGTAAAAAAATTGAACAAAGCAATATTTTCTAGCAAAAATACACATTTGGGACTGAACAATATATTAAAATTACCCATGGTTCCTCAGAAATGAATCCTGTCCGACTGCAGCTTAATACGGCATGTGTGTCATCATTAATAATAAGGGTCCATTTTATTTTGTGTGTCATATTTCAACACCCTGGGTCTGAGGTTTTTGGCTAGCTAATCTGTAATCAGGAATATTATCCCTTCAATGGTACTTTAAAACGATGCAACATCCTTTTTTTTGTGTTTCATGACTACTTCAACATTTTACAATTTACTGTACCTGCCAAAAAAAGTTTTTCCCTGAGTTTTGTTCAGCTTAAACAAACAAAGACATTGGTTTTAGAAAGATAATAACCTTGGCAATAAGCCTTCCTCTCTCTCTGTAACCACTATCGGTCCCTACCTCCCTCATTTCAGAATCCTTTTTATCACCAAATGCAGTCAGTGTGGATGAATTCTTAGTGTCAAAAGCATTACTTTCCAAAATGATTTCCTTCTGTGCTCAGGTTGTTTTTAGAATTAAGAGGATTTGCACGGGAATAAACAAAAGCAGAATGCTTGTTATTACAGTCAATTTATTAAGTATTTGTTACTTCGCTGCCCAGTTGGAGTGAGACTCAAAGAGTTGGTTAAAGAACAAAATCGTTAATGAAATTAAGTGAATCATTTAGATCTTTAAACAGTGTAATTTCCCGCAGTCTTGTTTACTTATTGTATACGTTTTTCCAATTGCAATCCATATTTAGAATTGGTTTTGATACTCTAGGTAATTTTCTATAATATAGTTAGTGATCAAACAGTACTGTCTTTCTTTGATTGAGCCTCTGGATTGCACATCAGCCTGACTGATTGCAGGTGAACGTTTTGGTTTCTTTATAAGGTCATGTGATCCATTTATAAGCCCAGAGATTCAGACCTGGAAGAAAACCAAAACTTTAATTCTGCTTAATCAAGAGGTTTGTCAGTTAATAGTTATCTAATAGTAACATATTAAATAGTATACAGATTTTGGATTAAATACAAGTGTTCTTATATTTTATAGGTTCTGTTGTCCTGTGAAAAGTAGGCCATTGTTTGTTTTTTTGAGTTCTTTGCTTTCTAAAATGGTTGTTACCACTTCAGCTGAACCAGAACAATAATTAACAAATGAATCGCCGAGTAGCTTGTGAAATGTGCTTATGCAAAAATATGAAATGTCTGCTCTTTTGTTTGCACACAGCTCTGGATTTCCTCTCATTGGAGGATCATTACATGATTTTTCGGTAAATCTGAACAATGTTAAGTATTTTTGTGCAAGAAAAAGACATTCTTAAGCACCTTAAAATGCTTTAATTCAGCTTGATGATTGGGAAGCAGCGGCCCCGCTCTTTTTGGAGAGAAGTAAACTAGATGTACAGTAGCCAATTCATCCACATCCTCATCAATGAAGCTACATGTTTTAAACCAAAACACATAGTCTGAAAACACTTCTGATGGTTACAGTGGTTATTTCCTGCTTTCCATCCTCTGGAGACAGTAGTTTTAACATATTGATGCAACAGAATCAGACAAAAATATACATCACCTGTCAAAATATGAGATTAATACTCATTACGAAGATTTGCAAACAATATTTTAAGGTTTTTACGAGGGCAAACACTTCCAAAATGAAGACTAGCTGATTAGTTTTAGCAATATTTCCCACTTCAGTCTAAGATCAGTGCACGGCTGCTTCCCTTAGCTCTTCTATTGACACATCTTGGACTTTTTCCATATGAGGCGACCCAGAAGCCCCTCTGGTTTTGATCTTCCCATTGAGCTGCACTGTGCATGGATGTAGTGTGAATGTTGACCAAAGAGATTTGTGCAAACCTATTGTTTTCTCTGTCATTTTAGATGGTACAAATGAACTGTCACCTCATTCTCTGACATACTGTTTGTTGTTTTATTACATAAATAACATCTGCTGCAGCGGGGGCTCCAGTCTAAAAATTGAAATGTAGTTTGCTGTTTTGTCAAAGAAGCCGTTTCAAAGATAACTGAGTATAATATTAACCCCACTTAAGTGTTTAAAGCTTCAAATGATAGATAGTAAATAGTAAAGATACTTTGTTACATGAGTTGGATTAAATCTTCCTAAACAAATTAGATGTTGCCCGTCCCTGCGAGGTTATCTAACAGCAAATCAGAGCCAAACACAATCGATAACCAAATTCCTCTCAGTCCCTGTTTGAGTCTCGTGTTTGCACAGTTGTGTCAACACGAAAGGCATGAAGTGTGATCCTGGCTTTTATCGTCTTCAAACTCTCATTTCAACAACTCTCTCATCCATTTAATCTCATGTTTTAACAGTGTTAAATTAGCGGTTCAGCGACGTTTCATTTTCAATCAGTCAGGCTTTCTGTTCTGGAGCTGAAGCATGTCGCATTTGTTATTGCACACATAATATAAGTGTTAAGAAGTGGATAACCTCAACTGAGAAAACTGCTTTGTACGGATTCTTAAAAGTCATCCACTCATGACAGTCTCGCCCTAATTGTGTGTTAAGGTGATTCAACTTTAGTTATCATTCCTATTTGGATGGAACAACTACAAAAAGATGCAAGAAAGTGACTCAAATGGCCACAAAAAGATAGAAAACCATCAAAAGAGAGACACAATAAAGACTCAAATGGATCCCAAGGAGAGAAAAATGTGAACATAAAAAGTCAAAATGACCAGTTTTATGTCCAGGGGCGTGTCATCTCATAATCTGTCTACATCAGTCTTTTAAAATAGTTCAATAATAGCAGCTCTTTTATTGCTATCATTTGATATCAGAATATATACAATTGTTTATTTGACATTCATTCAATCAAAGCCACTTCCGTCCATTGGTTACCGTTTAAAGCGTGAATCTTAAGCCAAATAACGGAAATGTATTGTGTTATGTGATTACTTACTCTTCCCCACACTGTATGAGACTTGTTTCTGTTTTATTTCTTTCTTATCATGATGCTTTTATTGCTGTAAATGCGTCTCAGGCTCGTCTTCCTATGCATCAAATGTAGCCGCTTTGCTTTTCCTCCGCTGTGACTGCACTTTGAATTCTGATATCGGCCATGTGAAACCTAAGACCTCATTTTGAATCACTGTATTACAGCGGGAGTGTGAGAGGAGAGTATGGCAGGGAGGAAACCAAAAGATGAATTACCGTCTTCTGAAACTGATATGGAAACCTGGTGATGTGTTGAATCACTGCCTGTTGTTTGAAGGTGTTGCAGCTCAGAGACGCTTTTCAGGGTTTTACTGACTGACATCGACATTGGCCCTTCTGCAAATCACGCTTTGAGCTTTTAGGATTTATAGACCAGCAGAAGTCTTTTATCTATAGACATTTATATGCACTATTTGTTTGTTTATAATTAGAATTAAATGTATGAAAAATAGGGAATCCAGGGGTACTGTGGTGTGAAACGCTTCGCTGAAAATGCTGTACAGAAATGCATCTGTTGGAGTGTTTATGCAGAAATGTAAAAATCTGAATGACTCCAAATGACCCAGTACATCTGTAGCAACGTGTGTTTTCCATAGTGTTATTTACGCTGAAAATATTGTAATAATGTTTTTTTTAATTGCTTCCAATGTATTGAACTGTAAATAAAGGACTTTGTAAAGCCGGAGTGATGAAGGAAAAGCTTTTTTTTCAACCTAAATATTAACGATTCAGTAGCTGCATGGAAGTAAGACGTTTTACTGAAGTTTTAAAATACAATTTACTTATATACAATGTATACTTGATATACTACACTTTATTGAGTATGCCACTTTGTACTGTATTCCACTATATTGTTACTCACTACAAGATCCATCACAAACAGCTAGTTTTTCATTGTTAATAATAATTAAATATAAATAAAAATGGTTTAACTTTAAAATGCGGGATCACCTGCCTTAAAATAAAGGTTAGCTGAACGTGAGAAGTCTAAGTAAAGGGACTTAAAATAGTACGTTTAGTCAACTACTAAGATAAATATTACAACTTGAGGGGACTTTAAGATGTTTGCCTTTGCAGACCATTGACATGCACCAACAACAATATAACACACTACAGGTAGGGGAAAACCCCCCAAAACATAATTAGGCCTAAAAAATATGTTGAAACAAAAATGTATTTATGCGTTTAAAGAAGAAAATGATGCATTTAAAGCTTATTTATTAAATCTGGCCAACCAGCTTCCTCACAGCTCAGTTCAGGTCATTGAACTTTGTTGGCATAAAAGTTAATTTAGGTGAAATGAGGACAGTTTCTTTTTTCATTTGAGTAACACTGTCTGAGGCGGATCCTTGTTTTGTGTGTGTGTGTGTGTGTGTGTGTGTGTGTGTGTGTGTGTGTGTGTGTGTGTGTGTGTGTGTGTGTGTGTGTGTGTGTGTGTGTGTTTGCGTCTGCTCGTCTGCAGGACACGGAAAGTACGGTGCCTTCCACAGCTTGGCAAGAACACATGCTCAGATAATTATATGTCTTGTGCGTACACACACACACACACACACACACACACACACACACACACACACACACACACACACACACACACACACACACACACACACACACACACACACACCACACACACCACACACACCTACACATTCAATCACATGTGTATGAGTCAGCAGTAGTCTGGCAGGGTTTTGCTTCCTGAGACAGAGGTAGCAGATCAACCCTTTGTGAGAGTGAGAAAACATTATTTCCAAATGAAATAAAATTGCATTCTTATTTTCTGGCACAGCAAACAGATCTGATTTGTAAAAGTTACACTGTGTGTACTTCAACTGTAAAATCAACCCTCCATTAAGCATGTATAATTAGTATATGAACATGTTAATAATGTTTATAATACACTATGTAGTTGTAAGCAGCTATGAGGCTATTTTAAGTGCTATCTAATGTAATCAACAATTATGCTTCTCACATTCTTTAATGCTTTTATATGCTTTAGCAAAATGACTGTGTGGCTGGCCTTAGTTTTGAGTTAATAAAAGTGGCATGACGTTTTTAAGAGCCACAGTAGCACAATAACATATGACTTAATTTAATCATATACCTTTTGATGAAGTGAAGTTAATATCTACTAGCCAATATCCACTGTACTCATAGGAACGTAATGAGCTAAATATAAGCCAGATCAATGCTTATTATTTAATGTACTGCAATATTTCACACAATGTAGCAACAGTATTTTATTATCCTATGACATATTTTATATCATTACTGCTTTTCACTCATTCTCATTGATTATCTGTTCATACACCAGTGTCTTTTTATTAACCATGGATCACAGGAAGTGTTTTATGTGCTTACAACTCTACATTAAAGTGGATTGTAAACATTTTACAACATGATTATTAACAAATTATTAAAGCTTAATCAAGCGGTTAGAGTACAGTGTCACTACTTCTTCTCTACTTCAGTGTCACTGTGCAGTTGTTGATGTTTATCTCCGGGAGATCAGTGAGTAACCGATTCAGTGTGAGAGCAGTTAGAAGTCCTGCCTGTAGTTTAACAGTAAAACGAAGGCCATGATTACACAGGAAACACTTGAAATCATGGCTGCACTTTGTGGTTTTCAATGGTTTGGTTGCTACCAACACCTGTCTCCTCCAAACTAGCTGTAGAACACAGCAGGAAACAGGTGTGTGCTGTGCACATTATTTCCCGATTAACTTTTTCCTCTCAACTTCTCTGTCAGTCTCACCCCTCCCCCCCCCCTCACACACACTCAGCCGGGCGTACGTGTTTAGTGAGTTTGCGCCAAAAGAGAGAGAAAGAGAGAGAGGGAGCTGGCAAGTATTTAGATCACTTAAATGTCCATTTTCAGACGGATAAATCACGAGCTAATAAGAGGTCCTTTGTTGTAGGTTTTTGTACATTTAAATGATCTGAAAAAGGCTACGTCGCAAAGTAGAGGGAGTTTCTCTCCCACACTGACCCCCCCCCCAATATTAAAGCATGTCTGATTTGGCTTCCCTCAGTTACACACTCTGATCTGAGATTTGGTACACAGAGTGATAACATTAGTCAAACTGAAGGTTAAGTTTGTAAAACTAAAGCTATCTAAGTTGTGTAGCTCTAACATGCTAGCTGTGTAATATCTCATGTTAGCTAAATATAGCATATTTACATTAAACACTTGATAGACAGGAAAAGTAAAACTGTTTCATACCACTGGCGCCTCTCATAATGCGTTAACTTAAGTTTATAATCAGATAAGGGGGCTGTATATTCTAATACATATGAGAGGGTACACACAGTCTTTCCTTAGTGTGTAGACACACTCAATAAACCCAAATCTATGTAAACGATGCACTGAAAAGCAGATGTGGGAATTAGTGGAGTACAAATACTTTGTTACTGTCTTAAGTACATCTTTCTGGTATCAGTACTTTACTCCACTACTTATTTTTCTGACAACTTTTTACTTTTACTTCTTACATTTTGAACTCAAATACCTGAACTTTCTACTTCTTACATTTTCCAAACAGGCTGGTTCCTTTAGTTTGAATGTGTGTTTGGTGCGTGATCATTATTATTTAGAGTCATTGCGTGCCTATTGATTTGAACACGATCCGTGTATCCATCACTTCCTGGTCTTCTCTAAAGAAGAGGGACCAATGAGAACGTTGTCATGTTGCCGTTGTTCAGCATGGAAACATTCATTAGCTAACAATGACATTATTATTATTGGGAGGTCAGGTCCTCTTTAAAACAGATGGTAGTTATGGGTACTTTTTACTTAAGTACATGTCGAAGCCCATACTTCTTTACTTTTACTTGAGTAAAGAAGTTTAGTCAGTACTTCTACTTTTACCAGAGCATTTTAAAACACGAGTATCTGTACTTCTACTTGAGTAAAGGATGTGAGTACTTTTGCCATCTCTGCTGAAAAGTGAGTTTTTCATGATACTGTTTGACCCCTTTAAACACACGCACCACATAGGTACAAATGCAAATGGACACACCTCAATGTACAGCACTCATACATAAGTGTTCCTAGACATCATAATTATATGCTAAGTAACATTCACACACGCATAGTCATCATGTTATGAACTTGGTTACACAAGGATAAGGACTCAAATGCACGACCCGGGAGCCAAAGGTAAAGTACAATTAAGATACTTTATTTGTACAAAAAAAGGTAACAAAAGAAGATCACTCTTAAGAGATGACAAAAAAGGTTTGAGCAAGGCAAAACAGAAAATCACTCACAACGTGAGGAACTAAACTTATAATAAGTTTCAGGAGTCAACATAGGCTTTGAATCAAAACGAGCTGAAGAGCATAGCTCTGTCATGAGGACAGGACAAGACGAACTGACACTGAACGCTGGGAGACTGGGGAATTTAACACTCAACAACAAGACACAGGTGAACACAATCAGGGGCGGGGCTGATACTGATGAGGGCGGGAGAACACATGAGGAAAGGGAGTCAAGGGACCTGAAATGAGACGTGACAAAAACAAAACAGGAAGTGAAAAACAATACAAAATAAACATGAAACATGATTGACTAGCATTTTTGACAGTGCACAACACATCACACAATGATAGCTTTTATAAAATACCAAAGTCAGTCCAGTAAGAGCTGATGCGCCCTGATCAGGATTAGAAACCTCCCACACACTCACGCTCATTTCCCCGTCGTACAGACCGACTGTGATAACGCCTGACACAACAGATAGTATCTTCTTCTGGATATTACTCTCCACAAAGCTATCAGATATCTCCTGTTTACTCTCTGTTTGTTGACAACCAAATATTGAAAAGCGGATGTTATGAAAGGATTATAGGCGTACAAAATAGATGTTGGGTTTTAGGCAAAATTTAAATACAATGTTTTAATTTAAAGGTGGGGATTAGACAGTCATATCTGCTGACATCCCAGGAAATTAAGGATCAACGTATTTGTAGGCAGCAGTGGTGAGGTACTGTACAATTTGTTCAGTACAATTGAATTTTAGTTTAGTTTAGTTTTTCATTTTTATTTATAGTAAAGCATTGTTCAACAATTAAAAATTAGAAAGTAATGACCCCCACATCTACCACAGAAATATTATACACAACGTTTTACCATAACTATGATACAACACAGCTACAATAGAGTGCTTTCTATTAATATACCATTCTATACTGTACTGTACACTATACTATACTATACTTTACTATGCTGTAGGAAAAAAAGGTAGAAAAAGTAAAGAAAGAGAAACAAGAGATAATGTATTACGAGGTACTGTTGTCCATAAAGTTTGAATCATTTTGTTTTCAGTCACATTCCTCTTTTTATTCCTATTTTATTTTCACTGTAATATGTTTGGAAGAGATTGATCAATACAGTTCTGAGAAGATATACACTTTATTTATAAAGAATAAATCACTATAATTTCATTAGTAGAGGCCAATTTCCCATAGTTCATTGCCATGCCATAAACTGTGAACACTATAGTGCATACATTTAAACTGGGTAGTGTTGTATTAAATCTCAAACTGCTGTAATGCTTCTCATAGGAAGTGACAGTGGCCAAATAGCAAACTCACCAGCTAGCAATGTTATTTTTTGCCGTACTAAATCAATACAAACCACTCATGTAACACAATATAATGTGACAGTGGTATGGTCATGCGTTTAT